GAGGAGAGAGGAGGGAGGGAGGAGGGAGGAGAGAGGAGAGAGGAGAGGAGAGAGGGGAGAAGAGAAGAGAGGGGAGAAGGGAGAAGAGAGAGGAGAGAGGAGAGAGGAGGGAGGAGAGAGGACAGAGGACAGAGGACAGAGGAGAGGGGAGAGGGGAAAGTGGGGGAGAGTGAGCTAGAGGAGGAGAGCTCTGCAGGTAAGGGATGGTTTCTATGCATACAGATGAAAGCCAGAAGCAAACAGAACCACAGCTCTGGGACAGACACAGACTAGGTAGTGGGTAGGTTTGGAGGTGACAGGAACTGTCTTCTGGTTGCTCATATTTTCTTAAGAGTAGGATGCCAGGTTTTTAGATGAGATGGAAAGGGTGTTAGAGGTTTGAGGACACAGAGGAAAGTGTAAAAATTAGTTGGAGTGAGTGAATTCATTAGAGAAGTAAAGCAGGACTGTCAGGCAGCCCCCTTGCAGTTTGTGGTCATAATTTATAGTGAGACCACTAGACACTGTTGGGTATTCTTAAGGCCATTTTAGCTACTCCAGTTAACATGTGCAATAAATCAAAAGGTGCCAGGGACATAGCTCAGAGGCAGCGTCTGTCTGGCAAAAGCAAGGTCCTACGTTTGATTCCTGAGCCCTCTTCCCCCCAAAATGTCACCAATAAACAAAGAACTTGATTTAATCAGGACTGCTATTTTCCTGTGAGCTGACCAGCTAATGAGAGGATAAAGGAGAAAGGGAGCTGACCGCATTAGAAAAAATTACAGTCAGTTGGTATTTACCTGGTTTACGTTCTAAAAGTTGCTGTAAATGAAACACAGCTTGCTCATAGTCTTGTTTTCTGAACATGATATCAGCCATCATCTAGAAAGATAAAGTTATTTTTGAAATACTGTTGTATGTTCTGCAAAGAATATGCTTCTAGTCATGATTAAGTACTATGAGTATCTATGAAATGTATGCAAAGCTTTGCAAAATTCTTATCACTTTTTAAAAGCTACTTTGAGCAGAACTGTTTGGAGTGTAACAGAAGACAATTAAGGCTGCCAAACAGAATGCTGTTTGTAACATGGTTTTCAGCAAAATGTTTCACATGGTGGCTTTTTTTTTTTTTTGTATTTAGTACAGGGTCTACAGAGTCTACAAAATGAACATAGTATGTGTGGATGTGGTTAAAACGACAATGAAAATCAAATACCAACTGAGCAATCAAACAAACGACAAAAATTTAACTGATGATTATTTCAAAAAAATATAAAACAAGACCTAATGCGCTTTTCTAATTATGTGATTTTAAAAGGGAAATAACGTAATTCTTTCTAGTTATAAGTCTGAATGAACTTCAAATGTTTCCTGACAAAATACTTCAGCTCAGGTAAAAGCAAGCAAGCTATGGATTAAAGCACCTGCAAAAGGGTGCAGGGGCCACGGGGTTCGCCAGTGCTGGCCCTACCCCGGGGCTAATTGAGATTGGACGTGGTGGCATGTGCCTGTAATCAGCTCATGGGAGGCTATAAACAGGCGGATCACTATGAATCCAATCTAGTAGTGAGACCCTGAACACCCTGGGGCCCCTTCCCTGAAATACAAAAATAAATAAATAAATAAAGACAAAACACAGACCATTTTAGTGATACACAAAGATTTTTCCCCCCATCACTTCTAAGGTTTGACTGAAATTTGATTAGTCCAGCATGTCTGAACAAGTACTTAAAAGTTAGCCTTTAGCAAACTGTAGCTTCAGCAGAGGAACTGCACCTGACTAAGGCATTTCCTAAGGCATAAAAAAACGAACTAGACTCAAAGGGCAAGTAAAGTATGATACACGTTAGTTGTTACAAGTATAACGCTAATGACTCTTGGTCTTCATTTGTAAAATACACTAACTTATGAATTGTGCTATTTTTCACAAAGTTAACAAAAGCTATGCCCTGCCATCTACTATTTGGATTTACAGGGTAAAATTTGAAATTTCCACCTGGAAGAGAAAAACATAATTTCCTTTACAGCAAGAAGATGCTCAGACTGACCATGGTGGCAGCCTCGTTATCTTGGTCACTCTGCAGAAGCATCATACAGTGTCGCAGGCAGGCATCAGTGTCACCTTGGGCCAGGTATAATCGTGCCAGTTCCAACATTATCTAGTGAGCCAAAGGTAAGAACTGTTAGACACTGGTTTTGGACTAAAAAGTGAGTGAGGGAAATATCTGGATATGATTAAACTTCAGTTAGTCAAAAGTTATTGCAATAAAAATGCCAGTGGACAACCAAGGGGATGTTCATCTCTATTTTAATGCTACTAAAAGAAAAAAAAGTAGCCACGTAGGTGGTAATTCACTTGAAAGATGGACAAGTTATTAGGCAAAAACACTGTTCTGTAATCAGGAGACTGGGTTCTACTCACCAGCTGTGCCATGACAAGGCAGTTGGGCCCTTCTAACTCTTGTACCCTGCTTTGTCATTTGTAAAATAAAAGAAGTTTCAACCAGGTAACCAGGAAGGTGTGCTTCAGAGCTAGGGGTATGATATCCCACACACCTGTCTGGTTATGCCTCAGGAGAAGCTACTTATGTCAATTCTCACACTAGACCACTCGAGGCCACAAATTCCCTGTAGTCACTTGCACATCCTTAGCACCAAGGAACAATAAAATACAGAAGTGTATAACAGCTGTTCAGTAAACTGAACTGAATCACTTAGATCCAAGTATTTACTTGTGGCTAAGTAATCTATTATTATTCAGTAATCACTATTTAAAATGATCACTAAAATGTTAGATGCATATTAAAAAGAGCTTGATGGTTTCTTATTGTTTCATTATAATTTTTAGACTAATATTTGTAATTTTAGGCATGTCTTTGAAAAGTTTTCTAGAGAAGTATTAGTTCTGTTTTTTCATTACATTTCTTTTCAAATCTTTATAAATAGGCTAATAAGAATTTTACATGTGAGGAAATTAGATGACATCTGGAATAAAAAGTGCTTAAAATTTTATAAAGGTACTGACCTTATTATCTGTTTCACAATGAACCAGAGCCTCTCTATAAAACATAATTGCCTTCTCATAGTCTTGCTGAGCAACAGAATGTTTCGCAATCTCTGCACAAATTTCAGCTGCTAAATGTTTTTGTGCAGGCACTGCATCTGGCTGTTCCATCTGAACACGTTTTAATACCCGAGCTTGTAATTCTCGAGCCTAGAAAAAATTAAGGACAAAAAAGAAATTAAAGAAAAACATAAAGGAAATTAAGCAATTTCAATAACTCACACATAGTATAATTTTAAGGAAGATTTATTGAAGCAATATTGGCCATTGATCTAACAAAGCCTAATCCAAAGAAAATGTCTGAGAGCTCAGACATGCACTGTTTGCACAAAAGCCAGCAGGCTCATATCTTTCCAACCAAGGGACTATGGAACTACTAACTCTGTTCCCATGTTAAAAGGATAAGTACAGGAAGCTCAGTAAAAAGGGAGTGTAACCAAGAGACAACTGTACTTGGAAAAGATATTTAGGTGCTACCATTAGATAATTAAGAATGTAAAATATGTATTAAATTGAGAAAATAGCATCTAAAATTAAATCAAATACTGGCTGATTATAACTAACAAGAATATTTACATATACTATTGATGGCACAAAAACTAGTCCCATCCTTCTGGAGTACACTCTAGCAAAACATATCAACACCTTAAGACTATAAGCAGGTTGTTAAACTTTGTTGTTCCACTCTTGGAAAGGTATTTAGGATATTTAGGAGGAAAAAAGGAAAGTGGTTATCCATTGTAAAAAAAAAAAACTTCAAGTAACAACCAAAAAAAACCCTCCTGAAAACAACTTAAATGTCCAATGATGGCTAATTGACTGATGGTTTATATAACCATGGTCCTATGTTATGAATAGACATACTTTAAAAGGAGGCAGCAGCCTTCCTCTTCCTAAGAATTAGAACGGGCTGCTCAATTGGAAGAAAGTCTACCTTGCCATCCAGACATCTGGTTTCTGGAACATTGAGCTTTCCTTTTAAATGAAAAAGCCAGGTGTGGTGGCACATGCCTGTAATCCACTACTCAGGAGGCCGAGGCCAGACTGTCTCATAAATGAATAAATAAATACTTCTATTATTTAGGCCTTTAAGAATGCCTTTACCTTTGAGCTACAGTTATTCACTAATGAGCTGATTTAACCAAGAGTAAATGTCCATCACGTGCCATAATTATGTTATAAACAGCCACCCTTCAAAGGACTCCGAGATAGCTCAGTAGAATAAGTTCAATCCCCAGTACTAAAAAAAAAAAAAAAAAAAGATGCTACCAGACCACTGTCTAAAGCAGCTGCGCCACTTTAGGGGCTTTGCCGGATAGCTCAATTATTTGAAGCGCCACTTGGGCAAATGCAGTCAGGTGCATAGGACTGCAGCTCGATTCCCAGCTCCAGAAGCTGTACCAGACCTGCCCTTAGGGCAGCCTGAAGTAGCCAAAAATAACCAAAAAACAAAACAAAAAAAAAAACCCCTCCTTCTGAAAGGACTCCTATTAAAATGCTGACTAACAACTGATACTTGCTGAATATAGTTTAAAGTAGACTTCTTTTTGAAGTACAGATTTAGGGGCATACAAAGTATTCTTTCATTTCTTTTTCTTCTTCTTCTTTTTTTTTTTTCAGAACCAGGGATTGAACTCAGGCCCTTGCACTTGCCAGGGAAGCGCTTATTTCACTGAGCCATCTCCCCGGCCCCCAAAGTATTCTTTTAGAAAAGCAAAAGATTAGAAAATATGAACTTATATAGCATGTAGTGAAGAGTAGTACTACCGTATGTACTTGTTTGAGTTATATTAACATGTATCTATATAAATATGCCAAGTATGTGTGCTGGGTTTGGATTCCCTATATAGGTATACATCTATGTTCATGGCTTTACACAAATATACCTACACACACACAACCACACAACTAGTCCAAAAATCCTGAAACAACTGTTCTGAATAGAATAATCTCTTTCTGGTAGGAAGGGCTCCTTGTATTTGGAATCCCTGAGCCTGCACGTGTCCAGAAATGCTCTCTACCATCTGGCCATCAGAAAATAAAGACAGAAAGCAGGTTGGGGTCCACTCCTAGCACCTCAGGTTAAGTGTCCTACCATAAGAATCTAAGTTCCCAAGCATTTTGCTAAAATATGTCCTGCCTTTATAGGCCTACCTTGTTTTACATCTGGATTTTAATTTTAAGTTAAGAAAGTAAAAATGAAAGAGAAACTACAATGAATCTTTGTAATAGAAGCCCATGCAACTGCCCCAGAACTGTGGTCCCTTCTTCCAACAAGATAAGAACTGTGTGATAATTTGAACTCTGAGTCTTGAGGCAGCCTCAAGGTTTATACCTGCATGGCCTTATTATCAGTATTGCTCTCTTTGCCTTTCAAAAGCACTTTTTTGAATGATAAAATATACGGTTACCTTGGGTCAAGAGAAATACAATTTATCTATCAACTAATCTCTAAATAGCATATGTGGACCTTGACAGCTCTTCAGAGAAATTCATTAGTGAGTTAAGAGTTTTGTGTAATTCTCTTTAATTTTCCTAAAGATAAATAGAGGAATTTATGAGGAAAAGAACTCTGCATCTTCTATTATAGACATTTTATTGAAAGGGTATATTCAGCAATTATTAAGGAATAGTTTCATACAGAATTCATAGCAGCAATAAAATTTTCTTGTATGATATGACTATGCTTTTGGGTCTCTAGATAGGTTAGATAAATTTTATTAGTTGTTACAATAATTATATTAGGCCTGCCTGTCAACATTTACTTTTCCCTCCATTTTAATACTCCCCATATATATGTATATATACACAAACACACACATATATTCTTGTACATTCCTTTAAATTCTTGGATATAGATAAGTACTGATATAAACATCTTATGAATACAGATGTAAACATCTTACATAGAAACTTCCATACAACTATTATAATCATAATGTGGTTGCCATGGGAGTATATAATAGACTGATTCAGTTTTAGAGATCACATGAGATTTGAAGAATGCCTTCTTAATGTCTTTAATAGCTTTATAAGACATTTTATGAAAGACCATTTCAAAATAAAATATACAAATTAGATAAGAATATGGTCTCAGTTATTTTTCTCTCATTGCTGGGATAAAACATCCAACACCCCAAATTAAAGAAGGAAAGGTTCATTTATTCACTCATAGTGGAGGTTTCAGTCCACACTCAGCTGGCTCCAAGGGAGAGCACCACATGGCAGAGGGCAGCAGCTCACAGTGGCAGAAAACAGCAGAGAAAAGGGAGAGGCAGCTGCTGTGGTGGCTAGTCAGCCTCCCTCCCCTCCTTACATTGTAGGCTACCCACCCCAGGGGTAGCACTCGCACCTATAATCCCAGCATCGGATCATGAATTAATCACAAACTCTAGAAACTGCCCTAATGGCTGCCTGAGGCTTTCAGGGGGATACCTAGACACAAACCATAACAAAGACTATATTAGTTTTCATATGAACACAAAACTATACATATTGGAAGTGCGTGTGTGTGTATGTTGCTAGGGATCAAACTTGGGGCCTTGTGTGTGCAAGGTAAGAACCCTACCACTGAGCCACATACTCAGGAAATACTAGAAAGGACAGATGTCAAATAAAAATTAATCTCAGGCATAAAGTTATAAAATTATGAAGTCATATAATTACTGTTTTATGCTATAGAAGTTCCTTATTTCTGACTTACTATATTTTATTTTCACAGTGAAGAGAGTACATGTATAAAAATGACATTTCCTATAGTTACCACAGAATTAGTTAAAATAATCTCTGATTTCTTTTCAGCCACTCATCAAAGTGGTACTTTCTGAGTACTTTTGGTGAGGAGTATGGATCCTTCTTGTAACCAGTGGACTATGAAAAATGTGAAGAGATGTCACTTATTTTTTCTGTGTATTTTATATTTTATAACATTCTGTCTTGTTAGCAGACTCACTCCAGAACAGAGGTGGCAAAACGATGCTACATGTGCCGCAGTGGGCTGTCCGTTATCACTGAAAGTTTTAAAAGCTTTATCATCACCGTAATTTTCCTCCCTTAATGGCTTTGAAGCATCCAGTGATTAGATTAGGTGGCCCATCAAGCAAACAACTCAAAGCCTCAGGAGCTGAGGATTACTTCTCGGCAGCAGTAAACCAGAAGCTAGAGCCCTCAGTCTTATGCCTTGAGAAGTGAATTCTGCTGCCAACTTGTACAAGCTTTGAGGCATATCAATACCCAGACAAGTCTCTTGGTTGGAAGCCAGACCTAGCCAATAATCTAAGTGTACCCTTGTACAAGTCCCCACTCAGAAATGCCCAGGAAACCTTAAGATAATCAATGAGTATGTTGTTTTTGTCTATTAAATTTGTAGTAACTTGTTATACAACACAGAAAACTTAAATGATTTACTATGAGGGAAGCATTTCTAGGGTCAACAAAACACAGGATCATACCTATGCTCATAGAAGAAAATTTTAATTTTATTTTTCTGTATTTTTTTTTTTTTTTTTTTAGGGAAGGGTCTACAGGGTGTTCAGGGTCTCACTATTAAATTGGACTCGTAGTGATCCATCTGTTCACAGCCTCTCAAGAGCTGGGATTACAGGTGCGCACCACCACGCCCAGTCTCAATTGCCATCTCAGCGCCCCCTGGGGGCAGGGCCCGCATGGCAGGCCAGGGGCTTGAACCCTGGCCCCTGTGCCTGCTTGCAGGGGCTTTAATCTGCTGAGCTATTTGGCTGGTCCTAGTTTTATTAAGGAGATAAATAATTACAGGGAATTGTGAAGGGTCCTATGTGGGAAGTAGGAGACTCCATGAGAATACACTGACAGGAGGCTTAAGAGGAGACCTAACTCAGCCTTGGAGAGCAGGTGAGGCTTGAATCACTGGAAGTTATACTCTGGTGAGGCTGTGTGAAAGAAAAGGCATGAGGAGGTGGAACAGAGGCCATGCATTATGAATTTCATGTGAAGGAAGTGATGCTAACTGCTTGATCAAAGAATGAGAAGGAAAAATGACTGGAAAGTCACAAAATTTGCAACAGATAAGCCTGTTAAGTAATTTCCATTTTATTTTGAAGCCAAGGATTCTGGTGTGGTGGCACACATCTATAATTCCAGCACTTGGGAGGCTGAAATGGGAAGATTATTGT